ATTTTACATTTTCATAATAAAATAAGTCAAAATTTCAGCATCATCCGATTTCAGCATCATCCCCGACAATTATTAATGAACTAGTTTTTAAGCCACCAAACCAACTCATCTCTGCCTTATGCGATACTGGGATACCGATATTGGCACAGTAATACTGGACTGAAATACCGATATTGGAATACCTAATATTATTATAAGTATGAAATATATAAATTAAATTAGCTATAACAATAATGACAAATGTTACACATCAAATAAAATAGTAAAACTTTAACCAATGGAAAATGGGCGTAATTACTTTATTTGATAACGATGGTTGTCCATTGTATCCGAAGATGATCCATTCATATAAGTATATGTCATATATATTTCAACACGTTTTTATCCAGAGTAAATCAATAAATGTTTATATTGATTTATTTAATAAGAAATCAAAGAATACTATAAAGGATATGTTGCTCATTACGCAGTAATACAGTAACAGGTAATAGGAGAATGTACATACAGATACGTAAGTGAGTACTTACGCAATTTATAATTCAATGGTTACAGTTTGTATGACATAACTTATCAGAAAGTGTAACTGAATGCTAAACTTTAATATTTAGATTGGCCGTTATTTAAGATATTATTGTTTTAGAATTTGAAATTGATAGAACTTAAATTGTTTGTATGCACACGTAATATTTTGTATGGTAATTAACTATTATCTCTTGTTTCAAAAAAAACAAGTTATCTATGTATATAGTAGCATTTATTAGCCGCATGATAAACAAGTGTAGTAACCTTATCAACAATCAAATGTTACATTATGTGGGAAGTATTATTAGGCTCTACACAAATATTTGCATCAAAATAACGTTCATACTTAACCCTTTTTATTCTTTACTGGACCAGTTATTTTTCAAATCTTATTTATTAACGCCAGAATTTGGCGTTAACCAAACCGGTAACTGCATAGTACAATAAGTACGTACGTACGTAAAGTGAGATACAGTTTATTTACAAACTTTGAAATTATTAATTTGCACGTAAATATTATTATTTAGAACTGGTAAAAATTGTCTTTGAGCATAAATTTTACAGGTTATTGTTATGTAATTTATATATATATATATTCACGTATAATAATATAAAAAAAAAAAAAAAAACTCATGATTGATAAATAGACTTGTTGCTTTATTATTGGAAGAAAATGTCGTGATTTTATTGCGTTTCACCGGACTAAATATATATTGAATTTAAGAATTAATTTAGATGATTTATTGACAAATATTTTGCTATAAAGAAGATCAGTTTAAAAAAAAACGCCCTTTTTACTGTATATTTGAGTAACATTAATTATCAATAATTATCAGGTAAATTATATATAATACCAAAAAATAACGGCTCAAGTTCAGAGACGCCTTTTTTGTTGTTATGGGGTAAATTTATTAACAAACCATCTCCCGTCATAGTAAACCTCATATACAGTACAGTTTATTATTCATATCCACTTACGCACGAGATTACTCGCAATGAATGTTTTTCGTCAGCAAACGCAGCAAATTAACATGCTTTATGCCCACAATGTTGACCTATTAAATAATCATTTATCCAATCTTAAACGTTCCAGAGGCCCTTTACCAAAGTTGAATGGAAAAAAACTGTTTGGTAAGGTGTTTGAGCTACGTTGTCGACAAGCTGCTATACCAATTCCACAAAGAGAATTTGGTGAATTTATGAAAAATGAACGCTGGAGAAATGCGGCACCTGACGAGAGATACCTGTACGAACTTTACGCGAAAGCAGTAAATGAGGAGAATGAACAAATGTTTATGACAACATACGACATAAATGAACCTATTAATGTCAACATTAATGTTGGCGAAGAAAATAATTCAAGTAACATTGGAGTAAATAACTCAAATGGGGATGGATATGATTTGATTCACGGGACGACCTCCGCCATTAATTATAACAATTAATGAATAATGAATTAAGAAATTCCCTTAAATTCGAGCTAAGATTAATTAAGATTAGTAATCGTACATGAGTAGGAAGTTTGGGCCAGGATAGGACAAGTTTGAACTACTGCAATTAATTAAGATTGGTTTTTTTTTCTTTAAATAAGGGTTAAATTGGTTTTGTTGGCTTAATTTTATTCAGAAGACGATCACACATTGTAAATTATCAATTTAACAAAAAAAAAAAAAAAAATTTTATGTTAACACGTTGCGGCAACGAGTATGATTAATAATTTTTAAATTTTTCAAAAAAATTTTAAAATTTTAATAAATTCTCTACACAAAATAAGAGGTCATGTGATTCATATATTTCTATTCTTATTTTATTTTTTTGTTCATAAACTTTTTTAAAACGTAACCTGCAGCAGCAGATTTCAAGAAATTCTTAAAAAAAAAAAAAAAAAAAGAGTACGTACGTACGCTTTGACAAGAGCTTAAAAAAATATGGTTTAGACTCACCATGTGCGTTTACGTTATTTATTGTTTATTTGGTCTTATGCTACATAAACAAATAAAAAACAAAAATATATTGTATTTGTCAGATTCACTACTAGTTAATACTAGTTAGTACTAGTTAATTTACTAGATACTAGTTAATTTACTAGTTAATTTACTGCTAGTTAATTTAACTGGTTATCTTTTTGCATATAGATTGTGATGTGCATTTTCATATATGCCATATACGGGAAAGAACTTCGTTATCATGAGAAAAAAATATTTTCAAACGCCTTTATTCTGTTATCGGTTACCAGTTAAAAATTAAAAAAAAAAAATTTTTCGATTATCGGCAAATCAGATATTTTTTGAGTTACGCGCTTTTTTTCTCAATCGCAATATTTTTTAGTGTTTAAAATTACTGGATTTAATGTAACACTAGATTATCAGATGACCAATAAAGTTCGAGATTCGAAATAAACGAACAATTAAACGATATTCGGAATATTTGCATATCGATATCGATATCGATATCTGGTATCAGCATACGCAAGTACATACGTATGTCGCACATTACCTATTACTACGTACCGGCACGTATGTATGTATGTACATTTGTACCTACGTACGTACGTTTACCTACATACGGTTGTAAATATTGTGACAATTCGATTCCTATTGCATAGATAATTAGCATCTAAATTCCCGCACTTTTTAATACGTACAGTATGTCCCCACAAACAAACAAAGTGCCGGATTTAATCCGGATCTTTTAACTGCCACGATAATAAATGATTAGCAATAGTCATTAGATGATAACAAAGATCAAATTCCTTGTTCATATTATTAAATGTTATATTCATCAAAGGTTCATGAATCTATGTATAAATATGCATATATATATGCATATATATGAATCACACAATATCAACGGTTTTCTATGATGTATGTATTGAAATTATGCATCTTTTTATTCTCACAGTAAATGCATGTAGTCTTGGAATAATCTAAATTTGTAATAACCGTCGAATATTTGGGCAGAAACTATTCTCACAGTAAATGCATACAGTATTGGAATAATCTAAATTTGTAATAACCGTCGAGTATTTGGATAGAAACTGGCTTTAAATTCTCACCACAATTCTCACTACAATTCTCACTACAATTCTCACTACAATTCTCACTACAATTCTCACTACAATTCTCACTACAATTCTCACTACAATTCTCACTACAAT